AGACATGGCAACGAAAGACGCACATGCAATTTGTAAGTAAGGATCCAACCACGTTCAGAAATCTCAAAAAATCTCGAGAAATGCCAGAACCGTTGGGGTGTCTTGTCAAGCATGCCTACACTATTTGCTCATGCTGCATGGTATTTTGTTTCCGCATGCGTGACTCTTGTCTTGTCCATTTGCTCACATCTAAGACCAGGAATGATCAATTCACATCTATAGAGCAAAGAGGTCAACATGGTCTGAACGTGAAACAGTGAATTAGCATGGAACAACGCAAAACATACTCTGTGAAGCTCGAGACTGGGATCGCAACTCCTGAGCTTGCGATAAGAAGACACCATCCTCTGGAGAACGACCTGCAAGCTCAAAACTCAGCTGCTGCTTCCCGAACAACGTCTATCAAAGAATGGCAAACATGCAAACAATACACATGCTATATATAAATACATCAACCGCACTGCGAAACCAGCATCAGATCATTTTCATTGTCAAAAACCATGCGGTCCGATCATCACTTGTTTCACGAACATTCAGCGTACATATGGGAATAAGAATGTTCACTCTGTGCACAAAACAATCATCATGGACATGTCCACAAAAGAACTGAGAATGCCACTCATGAGTTTGACATGGCAAAGAACCACTGTCGCAGAGTCCTGCAAACTGAAGGCTGAACGTGTCAACAGTGAAGCTTACAATGAACACATCAAATCATCAAAACACATGTTATTCATTTGCATATAAGGTCCCGACTTAAAAATGGCGGCATGTCAGGATCGGCCCGAATAGTATTTTTTGTCCACTGCTCATGCATTTCCATGAAAACATTACATATATTTTTTCGTGCTGTACTTACATAGATCCACTGCATCGTAAACAAACACTGACATTGTCACAATGCAATTCTCGAGATCTCAGGGACAGCCCCCACAGAAACCTCGAGAAGTCCAAGAAATGTTCAAGATACCTGTTTGCCAATCGTCACTTGTTTCACGAACATTCAGCGTACATATAAGAATATGGATGTTCACTCTGTACACAATGCATCTTGTCTCTACGTTCACATCTGAGCCAAGGAAAGAGGTAAAGAGGTAAACTATGCTTGTCGGTGCAGAGTTGCACAATCCACTGCAAAGGATTTGTTCGCTGCGTTCCAAACTGAGAATGCCATCACACACAGACGCTCCTACACGCAGATGCTTATTACACACGCACACACGCTTTCACACACAAACGCTTTTACACACAGACGCTTTTACACACAGACGCTTTTACACGCAGATGCTTTTTACACACGCACACATGCTTTCACACACAAACGCTTTTACACACAGACGCTTTTACACACAGACGCTTTTACACACAGACTCCTTTACACACAGAGTCCTTTACACACAGACGCTTTTACACACAGAAGCTTTTTACACACAACACTTTCACACACAGAGGCTTTTACACAGAGAAGCTTTTACACACAGGCGCTTTTACACACAGACGCTTTTACACACAGACGCTTTTACACACGGAAGCTTTTACACACAGGCGCTTTTACACACAGACGCTTTTACACACAAACGCTTTTGCGCTTTTACACACAGACGCTTTTACACACAGACGCTTTTACACACAGAAGCTTTTACACACAGACTCCTTTACACACAGAAGCTTTTACACACAGGCGCTTTTACACACAGAAGCTTTTACACACAGAAGCTTTTACACACAGAACTTTTTACACACAACACTTTCACACACAGAGGCTTTTACACACAGAAGCTTTTACACACAGGGGCTTTTACACACAGACGCTTTTACACACAGAAGCTTTTACACACAGGCGCTTTTACACACAGACGCTTTTACACACAAACGCTTTTGCACTTTTACACACAGACGCTTTTACACACAGACGCTTTTACACACAGAAGCTTTTACACACAGACGCTTTTACACACAGAGGCTTTTACACACAAACGCTTTTACACACAGAAGCTTTTACACACAGAAGCTTTTACACACAGACTCCTTTACACACAGACGCTTTTACACACAGACGCTTTTACACACAGACGCTTTTACACACAGAAGCTTTCACACACAGAGGCTTTTACACACAGACGCTTTTACACACAGACGCTTTTACACACAGAAGCTTTTACACACAGGCGCTTTTACACACAGAGGCTTTTACACACAAACGCTTTTACACACAGACGCTTTTACACACAACGTCCATTTCGTGCGTAAGGGTTGCGATTGACAACTCAAAGTCGCAATTTTTCCTCAGTTTTTGACGGCCAACGTCCATTTCGTGCGTAAGGGTTGCGCGGGACACTTCAAAGTCGCAATTTTTCCTCAGTTTTTGACGTCCAACGTCCATTTCGTGCGAAAGGGTTGCGCGCGACGGATAAAAGTCGCAATTTTTCCTCAGTTTTTGACGTCCAACGTCCATTTCGTGTGTAAGGGTTGCGATTGACTAAGTAAAGTCGCAATTTTTCCCCAGTTTTTGACGTCCAACGTCCATTTCGTGCGAAAGGGTTGCGCGCGACGCATCAAAATCGCAATTTTTACCTAGGTTTTGGACGTCCAACGTCCATTTCGTGCGAAAGGGTTGCGCGCGACCAATAAAAGTTGCAATTTTTCCTCAGTTTTTGACGTCCAACGTCCATTTCGTGCGAAAGGGTTGCGTTTCGTGGCGCTCCGGCGGCACCGCCCCCGCCTAAAGAGAGAAATAGAAGAAGAGCGAGAGGAGATCTGCAGATGTGAAGGTGTGAAGATGTAGATCTGCAGATGTGAGGGTGTGAAGATGTAGATCTGCAGATGTGAGGGTGTGAAGATCTAGATCTGCAGGTGTGAGGGTGTGAAGATCTAGATCTGCAGGTGTGAGGGTGTGAAGATCTAGATCTGCAGATGTGAGGGTGTGAAGATCTAGATCTGCAGATATGAGGGTGTGAAGACTAGATCTGCAGATGTGAAGGTGTGAAGATCTAGATCGGCAGATGTGAGGGTGTGAAGATGTAGATCTGCAGATGTGAGGGTGTGAAGATCTAGATCTGCAGGTGTGAGGGTGTGAAGATCTAGATCTGCAGGTGTGAGGGGGTGAAGATCTAGATCTGCAGATGTGAAGGAGTGAAGATCTAGATCAGCAGATGTGAAGGAGTGAAGATCTAGATCAGCAGATGTGAAGGAGTGAAGATCTAGATCTGCAGGTGTGAGGGTATGAAGATCTAGATCAGCAGATGTGAAGGAGTGAAGATCTAGATCAGCAGATGTGAAGGAGTGAAGATCTAGTATAACGGCTGCTTTTTTACGAAGAACCCTTCGCAGGCGCTCTCGGGAAAAACGATGGAAAGATCATTTTTAATGGGAAAACTCACTATACATGGCCATGTTTAATAGCTATGTTAGTTTACCAGAGGGTATCTTTTGCCATTTCTATACAAGAATATATCTTTACATCCCATGGCAATGATATATAGAATTGCTGTTCTGCTGTTCTGGATTGTTCTGGCATCTTGTTGTTGGTGATTTCTATAAGTGCCAATATTGGATAATATTGTTCAATGTGATCCCAATTCTTGATCCGACTGGTGCACTTATATACTGAATATCTTTGGCCTTAAGTATCCAACGAGATACTTGACCAAAAGGATTCATGGTGGAAAAGGAAGCTGCGAGCCAATCTGCATGGGGGTGCCAGCACTCATATTTCAATGGTGATTTACTATATATATATATAGTATATAGCCAATAATATGGGGATATTATATAGTAATACATAGAAAATTACATATGTAACTTACATAACTCACAATCAAAATATTGTGGGGAAACCATGGGAAACCTCCAATCCTCATCAAATCAGGAAACAAAACATGGCATGTTTCATCTTAGATCCCAGTTAAACGATAGGTCCGATAGGCTCATCAACTCATCTCTTTTTAAACCAATCACCAAGTCACTTTCGATCTGTGGGAAACCCATCCCAAGTCGCCAAACCAGAAAGCCAGGAACATCATCGTATCTAATTTATGGGGGAACATAACATCTGAAACCACTAGAGAAGCCTCGCAAATTGATGACGTGGAAAGCCACACCAGTGCTGTCTGACTCCTGGCGAGCCGGCTGGTGCCTTGAGGGTCTGAGTGATTCTTTGGGATGGACGTTCCAACATGACAACCTGGAAGTTCCTGCCCCATCTTACCCTCTGGTAAACTAACATAGCTATGGAAAATCACAATTTTTTATGGGTAAATCCACTATAAATGACCATTTCCAGAGGGTATCTTGGGAAGTTCTTCTCAAATGGAGAATCCCCCGTCGCCCTAGTCCCATAGGCCCCATGGGATTGCCAGCCTCTCTGGGCCCCAAAGATACCAGACATTCCCAGGTTCCATCGGGCTCCCCTTGGGGAGAGACCACCTGCAGATGGGCAGGAAGGTGGTTAAGGCAATAGGATCCAAAAACACCCCAAGTCATCAGCATTTTTACGGTTGGTAGAAACATGTAGAAACCATCAAAATATGGATGGTTTATGACATTGCTTTACTAACATTACATCAGGACTCAGGATTTGATTCGGAATACGGGATGAGAGGATCAATATCTTAACAGCTGCACCCTGTAACCAATGACCAATGGCATTTTAATCCAGGCTTGACATACCATGGCGACAATAAAGAAGACACGATGGCGAAGCTTCGACATCCCTTCAAACGACAGACTCTGTATAGTTGCCCATATGCTCCATGTATGGAATATTTACCAACATTAACCCTCAAAATCACCTAAATGTAGGTAAATATACCATACATGGAGCATATGGGTTGTTATTAGCTAGACTAGACATTGACATGGATCCTTTTTGTTTCCTGATTTGCTAGAAATTCACCTGTTGACCAACCTGGATTTTCAAGTGAAAGTCGGAGCATCCGACTTTCAGCGGCTCCAATTTCGCCTATCCCAACCTTTGGAGGTTCTTTATATAGGCCATAGTCGTCCGAACGAGAACTGCGGTATGTAAAATCCTGTAGTAATCATTATAAATCCAGGTAAGTCCATATCAATCCTATCCCCATGACGGATCCATGTATGGATATGTATGGTATATATGCTAACATTGGGGGTATATTGATGGTAAATGTTACCATATATGGCAGCACCATATAAACCCGCGATTTTTCAAAGACTAAACTCATCTTCCAACGTTTGTTGGGAGGTCTTACTTTATCAAGGTACCACTGCGGTGCTGGTGGACAAGCCCAGCTTGGTCAAGATGTCGCTTTGTGCCAGCCTTACCACCTGGCAGCTTGGCAAAAACCAGGGGTTATCCTTGGGGAGACCATGGGGTGATGGGGATATCATGGGGATATATAGCTATAACTATGTAACCACATTGATGTATATATCACTATATATATATATATATGTATATATCAATAATTATATGTACTAATACTGTATAGTATAGGAAGCAACATCTTAAATGATCTAACTGGGTGATTTACCTAATCATTCAGTGGTCACGATCTGGTCAGCATAGGGTCAGTTATCATTGTCATTAGATCATTTTAGTATTGAAACAACCATGATGTTCATCCATTTGAATAGGATGTTCCAATATTTTCCATGGTAAAACCCTCCAGCTATTGGTGATCCCCATGACTTAAGAACTCCCCAGGGCTGAACTCCACAGCCCCACCGGCCCCACCGGCTTTCCACGGCCCCACCGGCCTCCGCCCAGGCTCCAGCAGCGCTCAAAGGCCGTGCATGTGGTGGCCAAACGAGGCGATGCCACTCAGCTTTGAAGGTCGTTTCCTGGGGGGCACCACCAATGGCACCACCAGTTGCTACGGCTGGGGGCACCACCAATGGCACCACCAGTTGCTACGGCTGGGGGCACCACCAATGGCACCATTGGTAAATGGCACCACCAATGATATACCACTAGTCATACTATGTCATACCACTAGTCATACTTAGTCCATGAAGAGATCACTTTTTGGTGTCATGAAAAACATACGTGGGGAACTTTTTTCTTTTTGACCCACACTTCAGACTGCCCTGCTTGGTACAATGTGTTAATGTGTTTCAACAGCTGCATGCAAGATTCCCCCAGCTTCCGAAAAATGGAATCCTTCTCTTCGTCGCTTCCACGCAAGACCTGCGACCACGCTGCAGGTCCCTGAAACATGGCGCGTTTTCGGGGCAGCCTAGTCTGTTCCGCTGGTGCTTTTCCACAAGAGCCACTGAGCTTTGGGCAGTAACCTGATACGATGAAAAAAATAAGCTCCCACCCAAAAAGCAACGAAAGCTACGAAGAGAAGGAGGAATTCTAATAGTCCAGAGTCCAGAGTGATCAAACATCGACATCCCATATTTCACGGGCCTTTTATAAATCGCACTTCCACCCAGTCGATCATCAAACATCATGAAACATCGACCTTGCACAAGAATGGTTGTAGAATGAACACAAATTATCCTCAAGAAATCTCAAGAATCATTGATATCATTGGTATCATTGTATGGTTCTCGCTACTGCCCAGATCTTCCGCCGATCTTCCCTGGCGACCTTGATCATATGTTCTAGGTCCTCTGTTGGAACTCCTTGTTGCACCAAGGCTTTTTGGAAGATCTCGACTGGCACGCAGCCTGCGCCAGAAGCGAAATGCCGAAATGTTGAGTTGTCTAAAAGTAGGGGATACCCAGAAATGTTTTTTTTTTTTTAATGGGGGAAATGAGGATAGTCCATTGGAATATATTGGAATATGCGATAGCCCATTTTCAGACAAACCCATATGCAAAACCATGTCACAGATTGTCACAGCAACATTTGATGCATCAAATTTCAAACCAAACATTGGACCTGTCGAAAAAAAGTTTCGGCACCGGGGCTCCAGACCTTTCAAACCCAGGGTGGGTTTCCAGCCGGTGCGAGGTGGTTCACTGTGTCCACCCATGTTGCTCACATAGCGGGAAGTTTCCTGGCCCGGCCATTCCCAGGGCCTTTGGCAACACCAGCCAGTCGAGATGATAGTCCCTCCCCAAATGCGCAATTTTGTGTGGTCAAATGATCAACTGCAACCTGTTTTTTGCAGCTTTGTACCTCCAAACAATATGTCTATATTTAAATCCAACCATGTATTCCTGCAGCTTTACACACATCCAAAGATATTCCTATCCTAAGTCCAACCATATGATTCTGCATACATCCCCAATTCCAAGCTTTTAGCTCTTAGTAGTTATAATATGTTTGTACATGTTTGTACTTTACTTGTTACACCTTGTACACCTGAAAACACAGTGCCGAACATACCCCCATCCACCGCTGGTTTTGCGGACCTTGCTTTTGGCTTGAAAAACGAAGCCAGTGAACTCCTGTCGGGAGTTGATGCGCCAGCATGACTCCTCAACGGCAAGTGGGTATACGGTACAGCCCCGTTTAAAGGCCGTGTGTCTATGGGAAAATGATGCTAAACTGATGGATTTATATAAATTAGGGGATTTTAGGGGTACCCTATTTTCAGACAAACATATAGATGTGATCGGACTGACGGATGCACTGGTAATTCTTAGGACTTCGGATCAAACAATTCTCATGCCAACTCTGAAGAAGGAACCATGAAACTATGGGAGTACAACATTGAGAGTTGAGCCATGGCCACAAATTTTGAACATGTTTGAAACATGTTGAAACATTGCGACGTTTTCAAAAACTCAAAAACCCTTCCCTCATTCTCGTCCATGGGCCAGCCCAATGAAAGGGGCTGGCTAACTTCCAATGACATCCCGGATCTGGATCTGTCATCATTCCCAACCGGGTCCCCCAACCGGGTCCTGCTGGTTGTAGTAGATGATACACCCAGAGGGAGACTTGTAGCAGGAACGCTTGTTGAAACGATCGAACCACTGGTAGGTGCCATTGCAGCGACCCGCGCCTGTGACCTCGATGCGATAGGCGATATTTGGCGATATCCACCATGGATCCATTGGGATCTTTCCCTGTAAATCTCGAAGAAATCTGTCTGAAAAATGATGGAGTTCGTCAGTTGGGATGATGACATTCCCAATATACTATTCATCCACCTTTGATATTCTTCCTCTTACAATTCCAAGGAAAAATCCTAGCAATCCATACTATAAATTACTATTAAATCCTAATGAATCCTATGGTCTATTCCTGTCAAAAAAACCTGTCCATCCTATGGCCCCACACCTGGATGCTCCAACTTCGCGTCTGCTGGCGGTAGCGTTTATTGGCCACCAAGCGCAGGACATGTTTCTTGAGGCACACCTCTCCGTGGATCTGCGCCTCCTGTGCTTCGTTTTAACCAGCCGGAGCCGGAGCCGAAAAAACGCAGAGATTTTGGCGGCCAGACCCAAATGGTATTTTCACAAGGGAATCTAACTGATCATCTATCACTTCTGACTCCCGCACCAAAGATGTGGATATGATTAAGCTGTTGGCCATGAGTCGGCGACTGAGTGTCTCCTTGTAGATGTTCAACACGTCTGAGCATCCTACCGCTGGGTTGTCCACACGAACTTCTCCCAACTTGGCCCAAGGGGTGAAGTCGCAAAAGCTCTTCCTGTGAGCCGAGCTGTTCACTCGGCGCAACGGAGAACGGAGAATCAGACCGGAATCAGACTTCGGTGAAACTTCGATACAATGTGCATGGATATAGAATTGGGGGTGAAGGAACTTCCCAAGAATGGATGGACATTGACATGGTAGCATGGTTACCATTTGCTACCCCTCAGGATCGAAGCTTTGTCCATGCAATTCGAGGTAAATCAACGCCCGATTAGGTCATCGCCATGAACTGACAAGTCACGGCGGTGGGTGCTTAAAGTCAGGACCGAAGTGAAAGCTCGCGGAACCTTTGATGGAAATAGCTGGGAAGAGTCCCTCATGGTAGCCTCAGCAAGGCTACAGGTGGAAGTTGTAAGTTGGAAGGTGAACACAAAATGATGGAAGAGACTGAAAAAATGTGGGTATGAAGCAAACTTGGGCAGCTTGAAAGTTGCATATAGAATATAGTTGACTACCTGCAAGCTGCTGCCTGGCAGCCGACTAGTCTGTGATTCCCTAGGTTTTTAACTTCACCAAAACCACACATAAATCCTCAACTAAAATGACATCAAGCTAAGGTATCAGGACCCTCACTATGGGCCGCTGAATTTCTGGATTTGTTGAAGGAACCCACAACTTTTCATGGGGAAACTGGTTTTTTCCAGTCCAACTTCCAGCCAAGAGCCAGTGATTATCAGTGATTGAAATTCTGACACTTGGGGGACCCCAAGGCCATCCAAGGCCATCCAGCCGGCCCCAGGTTCGGTGGCATCCACCTTCCCTCTTGATGGGCACCAGATCCGCCCTGGTGTGACTTGCCAGCCAGGTCGCAGGGCATATCCTCCTGTGTGATGTGTGGGTTCCAGGTACTTCCCCAGGCACCATCTGATGCAAAGGTCACAGTGCCATGGTCCAAGTCTACTAAAACACCTGGGCACGGACCATTGCATACCCTTCTGGTTGTCGAATGGTGTCGGTGTAACTGACTGTACCGAACCAAGATGGGTATATTCAGCTGCAACACCTGTTAAGCTGCAAAATGGCTTGGAACCAAACAACATGTTGATATGCACCTTTTGATGTGATCAAACAATTACCCCATAAAAGGGGGGGATCATGATGTTGGCAGTGGAGAGCTGGACATCTACGATCATCACTGGTTGGTGGTTGAGCCACCCCTCTGAAAAATATGAAACTCAATTGGGATGATTATTCCCAATATATGGAAAAATAACACATGTTCCAAACCACCAACCAGATCACGTAGGTGATCTTCAGCACGCAACCATCAACTGTCAACATCTAGATTTTCGACCAGAAATAATGAGCGGCAATCCCTAACCATTTAAGTACCATAAATGCCGCAAGTCACAAGTCTGAGTTGATTGAGAACACATAAGTCAAAAAAAAATCAAACAAAAAATGCCATATGGGGATTTCCTAAAATGGAGGTACCCCAAAATCATCAATTTGTATAGGAATGTCCACTATTATAAACCATCCATTTTGGGGTACCACCATTTGTGGAAACCTCCAAATACATGCTCCAAAAAATTAATCACTCCAAGATACCCACCAGCACAGTCTTGCCCAGAATTTCGGATTGTTCCCTTTCATAATTGTCCTGGGATTTGTTCAAGATGGCCCAGCAAAATAAAAAAACTAAAGATTCCCCAAATGGATCGGGGTTGGTATTTGGGGAGGACGGTTGGGTCAAGATTTTGTAGCTGTAAAGTAGCTCTGCCCAACCCCAATCACTACTTTTGTAGTGGAAATTCCAACCAGGATCCAAATGGTGGATTTACCAATTGCGCCAGTTAAATCAGCATGTTCCCCCCAGATAAATCCCATCCCATTAAATCATTCTAAATCCCAAATATTGCTGGCTATATCACCATGCTTCCACATTTCTCCACTCAAATCCCATGGAAAATCCGCCATTGTTGAAAAATTATGTTTATAAAGTTTGATAATACATCCCATTCTACCCATAAAAATGGTTGCTTATATATACTGTTAACACCAACTAAATCGTAGTCCCATCCCCCTTCATATCATATAAACACCCCCATTCTGTGGTCCCAAATATGTGTTTTTAAACTTTTATCTCCCATTATTTAAACCATGGTGACTCTGGGGCATGTTTAATGTGAACGGTCAAGGGGATTGCAACCCAATAAATTTGATAGTAAAGCAAGTGAAATCTCATTGAATCCCATTAAATTCCCCATTCTTCTTGGATAAATCCACATGATATCACCATTTCTTTAATCATCCCCTATGGCTCCAAATACTTTCTGAGAACTTACGGCTAACCCCCCAAACCATAGCCCAGTCATACTTCCGAAGGTATAGCTGGATCCATACCATAAAATCCTCCAAGTTTCACAGTCGAAGTGGACTCGCTCAACCGAACCCTTGGGCCAGCTGACGTTCCACGAGCTCACCGGGCCATTTTTGAGACACGCGCCGTGCAGACCATCGACGCCACAGCTGTATTCATCGTCGCCAATGCCACCGATACCAGTGACACCTGAGATAAAAAACAAGGGTGGGACAGAAAAAATCGGATAATGATAAAATAAACTATCAAACGATCATAGATGAGCAAAGATGACCCAACCCAGAAAGATAAGTGTACCTTGGGCAGTTTTGTCGTTTTGTGGCGTTTTGTGGCACTTTATGGCACTGGCTTGGCTTCGATTCTTCGATCAAAAGTGACCAATCCAGTCTCCAGGAGACTCTTCACTCCCACCGTCCACATGAATTGATCACCTGCAAGTCCAACGTGCGGCAGAATGCAGCCCTCCTTCAGCTCCACCTCGAAAAAGAAGCAACCTGCAAGCAAACAAGGCTCGGTGGTCCTCTCGCCCAACAGAGGGATTAACAAGTACTTAGGGGATGTTACAGGGAGGTGCCCTAGTTTGTTAACTTGGCAACTTGGTTTATAGATCTTGTAACTTTGGTTTATGATGGTTTATGTGTGCATATCTGCATATAAGTATTGGGGGCTACAAACCGAGCACGCACTCAGGGGTATGTACTTCATCAAAGCCACACAGTAGTACTCTACGTTCCAGTGGGCTACATCATCCCACCCCATGCGCCCAGCATGTCTTGTGAAACAACGCAGCACCTTCCTTCCGTTTCAGTTGGGGGAAGCCAAAGGTGAGCCATTCTCTGATGGAATTCTCTGTACTTCCTGCGGCCAGTTTCGCGAGGGATGAACTCGGCATTTGGCACTGCGTTTATCCCAATTCCAGGGTAAAACCACTGGAAGCTGGTTTAAAACCACCATCTTGAAATTAGTCAATGGGAAGGATTATCCATGATTATCCCATATATTATGGAAAATAAAATTCATGTTCCAAACCACCAACCAGGAAGAGTCTATGAGCTCCAACGAATCATGGAACAATTCTCACTTCAGTAGCTCCAACGGTCCATCATTTTACAGCAACGCATGTCGCCGCTAGAAACACTGCGTCGTCCGACCTGGGGGTGTCCGACCAGGGGCCACATCTGACATCATCGAGACATCATCTGACTATGGTTTGATCATCAGTCATCAGTTTCCCACCCAAAATGGCCATATGATGACATATACATTTATCATCATTTATCCCTATAATTCATCCTTAATCTCTAACTTCCGAAAATCATCATCAATCATCATCAATCATCAATCATTTACTTTACAGTATCTCAACTCATCAGGTTTTCAGCAACTCCAGCCATTTTCGGCTCAATGCGGCGTCTCGCCTCGCATGAGCTTTGGCAACTCCTCCGCGGCTCGAGGCTCCGGAGCCATGGCCACGTCCAAAATGCCCTGGATTTCGTGCTCGTGGTATTCCTCCAGGACCTGGATGTCGAAGAAATCGAAGGAACTGGGAAAGCTTGAGATGTTGAGATGGGGATGGGTCAAAACCCTGGTACCTAGTGAACCCCAAAATAGCTGGTAAATGGATGTTCATTCCTCTAAAAATGGTATTAATAGGTATTGATCCATACCCAGATATGTTGGCTGGTTGATGGTGGTTGACCTACCCCATCACCATGGTTAATGATGATGGTTATTATATGGTTATTATACATGGTTAATGATGGTTAATAATAATCTGGTTGGTGGTTGAGCCCTACCCCTCTGAAAAATGATGGAATTCGTCAGTTGGGATTATGACATTCCCATTGTTTAATGGGAAAAATAAAATTCATGTTCCAAACCACCAACCAGTTGGGATAGCTTGTGGAGTTTGCGGTGAAAAACTGAGAAAGGATGAGTTTGAAGGGATGTGTCAGTGTGTCTTTAAGATTTGAGTTGATCTGCTTGATTTAAAGACACCAACACTGACTCAAGGCTATTGTGGAGTTTATACACCAACATTGCGTGTATTGTGGAGGAAGAAATCCGAACATATGGGAAGCGGATGATACAGTGACCCCAAAACGATGCAGAACAAGTTTGAACCAATTCATTGACTTAAGGATGGGGTTTTGCAACATGTTGCATCCATTTTTTTTTAAGGGTTTCTTCAAATAAGGAGACCCACCATGACCCACCGCTGTTTGGTTCAAGAGAAAATTGTACAAGAACCCATGATGATTGTTTGCTTTCAAACATCTACACTGATCTGCACGGGGTTCCTGAATGTCTTGTCCCTTGACAAACTTGTTTTGTGGATGTTCCGGCGCAACGGATGACCCACTGGAACCATCATAAACCATTAAAAAAAAAAACGTCCTTCACCATGATCCCGTCACCCTCCTGAAACCCAACCAGCTCTGTCTTTGCCAAACGACATGTGCATATTTGTCCAGGACGGCCAACCTCGAGCCTGCGCTGGAAACCCACAACTGCGATGGAGGTGGGAAAATGATGGAAAATGATGGAAAATCTAGGAATCTCCATGAGCTCTGGTTGCCATTTTTGTCTCTCAGAACTTCAAAAAACGACCGCCTTCGATCCCACCAGAATCCGTGGCTGCGAAGCTACACCGCAAACGCACATCCTTCAGCACCAGGTAACCTTGGACCGTTTCAAAGCGACGGCACCCTTTAAATGCCTAGGGATCGGAAATGATGGGATTTTGTATGGGATTTTTGTTACGCGATATCCATGGAAATTAAAAAGAATGGGAGTCCTATGATACTATGGGGATAGAGATGAGATTTTGATCAAGAGCCATATATTCTGATATACCCTCTGGTAAACTAACGTAACTATGGAAAATCACCATTTTTGATGAGTAAATCCACTATAAATTGTTATTTTCAATAGCTATGTTAGTTTACCAGAGGGTATTCTGTATGGTTCACCTCTGAGATGCTCGCCCCTTTCCACCAGGACACTGTCTCCATACTGAAGCGCTGACCTGCAGCCCTCGAAGTCATTGGTCACCTAGGACAGGGTCCCAGCTGACTCTGACCCATGACCTATTGGGGTCTCCATAGCATCTTTTGTTCCCTTTCCGGGGGTCACAAAAAAAACCTCTCCATCAGCAAACCAGTGACATTCAAAGCTCCGTACTTGCAGCGCTCAAAGGGTGTTGCATCATGATAGGCATCACCAAAGAGATCTTCTTCCCATCCGATGCGAATGTTGTTTCCTGGTGGATGCATCCATCGGAACCCCCACAGCCATAGATTCTCTGTCCTATTCCTGCAGTTCCTAGATGATCTCGTTCCAAGTCCAAGTTCCCCAAACAAAATGGCGCTTTCCTAAGTCATGAGGCTACCCTAAATCATCTGTTTTTTGGATTTTTTTAGGAGATGTTCCATTAATCCAGCGGTACCCACAAATAGGCACCGGCTCCAACCCGCCCATACTGACCGCCCTACGGCACCATCGTCCAATGCACCATTGGAGGTCTTCGTCTCGAACTGACTCCTGCCGTCAAGAAAGGTGCAGCTTTCGCACCAGCTGAAAAGAGACCTGTTTGGCCTGTTTGGTAGTAAAAGAAGCCACAGCAAGATTGAATTGGAATATATAATAATATATAATAATATTGATATAAGAACATCAATATGAATATAATATAAACATATCAATATAAGAATATTCACATTAGAATATTGATATAAACTAATATAAGCATATTAACATAAGAATATTCATATACTGCATATATAAGAATATGTAAGAATATTAATAAAAGAACAACGGAATGAATTTGGTCGAAAAGAGTGATAGACTATGCTGATCCCCAAACATCTACTAGCAGAGACAAAAGGTCGAGAACGGTTTGGGATATGTGATGCTGAGGAAATTGGGGAGTACATCATTCTGAACCATTCCCACGTACTGTAGATTCAAGTTCTTACTATTGTTTTTTCTGACTTAGATATGGCTAGTCCCTGGTACCCTACTGAGCCCAATATTATCCCATATATTATCCCATATTAGATGGTAAATGGATAATATTTGAATGGGATATTAGATGGGATAATCCTTGGTAGGGTACCTAACCCCAAAGTAAATGGATGTTCATCCCAAAAAATATTTGGACAAAAGCTGACAACCAATAGCTGGAGCCTGTAGAATTCATCGGACTCGAGGAATCGACCCACTGTGTCCTCCGTCGGACAAGGCAATTCCCATCAACCCCCCCAAAAAAACCACCCGAACTCAGGTCATCTCACCAGATTTCACCGTAACCAGGCTAGTCCCTTCAAAAATCCAGAAAAATCCCATAAACCCATCATAAACCCATCATAAACCCATCATAAATCCATCATAAACCGATGAATCATAAACCCATGGAACTTGGGGCACATCTCCGCATATGTCAGTAAAATCCCTGGGCCCGTGCCCGTTGCGCCAAAGCCACCAGCTGCACGTGGATGATGACGGGTGCCAGGTCTTGAACCCAGCTCAAGACGGCCTGAGGGTTCAGCCATGGTACCCCTTTATCGCTGGATGGTTTATTTCATGGCAAATCTATCTACTGGTTGGTGGTTTTAACCATCTTGAAAAATATTAGTCAATGGGAAGGCTTATCCCATATATTATGGAAAATATAATTCATGTTTGAAAACACCAACCAGTCTATAAATGGATGATAACTATGATGATTAGATAAAATATCACCATGATTGACCATCATATACGTAGTTGTAATATGCTGTAATCTATCCTGGTTGGTGGTTGAGCAATCCCTCTGAAAAATATGACTTCGTCAGTTGGGATGATGACATTCCCAATATATTATGGGAAAATAAAAAATGTTCCAAACCACCAACCAGTATAAATGGATGATAACTGGGGGTACCCCTATGACTTAGGAAACCTCCATATCGATATCATGATACCAAAATGTAAGCCAATGTGTTTCAAAGTACTTAACTCTGATTCTGGCTTAATAATGCTTCTCAATGCTGGGATTTTATGATGAATAATGACTTGCATCTACAGTATATGTAATAAGATATAGATTCATGATTGGTCTTTTCATATTATACTGTAGGTCACCACCTGAGTCACCAATGGACTTATATTTCATGATATGTTCAAAATGGTTCAAGTTGTCAAGGGGACAATTGCTTTGGACAATCTAGCACATATCACATATATTCACATATCTTCTTGAACATGGAACACACATGAAAGAGTGTGCCAAAACATGTGAAACATATCTTATTGAGGATGGAACATCTCGATTCCCAAGTCCTCAACTTGAAGATGAAAGATGATGTAAGCCAACGCCAAGTCTTCCAGGCTCTTGTTTGCCATAAGTCTCGCCTTTTAATCGGAACTTCATGTACCAATTCATGTTGTGGGTTTCGATCGAAGTTTTCACTGTCTTCTGGAAATCACCTGGTCAAACAGCCTAGGATCCGGGAAAGTGGTGAAAGGGTAACGCAACAACGTGCCATGTCTGTCTGGAGAACCTGGAACAAAAAAACATGTTTACAGATGTTTACAGTACATTTTGGGTGTCCCGTTCTGCAAAAGGAAAAGGAATATATTGGAACCCGCTGAAACAATATTCAAGATCTACCTTTTTTAGCGGTGCGAAAGATCTAGTAATTATGTTACACTGTTATACTGTACTTATATACACTCTCATACATAATATACGCTACATGATGTCCCTGTGTGTTACACAATCGCATATAGGTATACATATAACATCAATACGAATCCGCACTGGGTCCCGTTGTGGCCAGCGGTAAGGCGAGCCTGGAGTTCCTTGTCGGTGTAACCCATCTTCTGAAATCGCTCCAAGACTCTGGGATAGGCAGCCTGGATGGGCAGCGGATTTGCCAGCGGATGTTCCAGCGGATTTTGGGTCAAACAGGAATGATCTATTATCTCTGCGGAAAAAAACAAACTTTAGTCAACTTTAGTGAGATCATTTGACTCAGATGATTCGTTTGATGATTCGATTTGATTCACATAAAAAATTCAGTTGCCATCTGGTTCTGCCCATCACTGCCATCCAGTCGCAGGTGATCTGGGGGGTATCCCCAAATCCAGTGCTTGAAACTGGCCATCGAAATAGTGGATTTACCCATGGAAAATGATGATTTTCCATAGTTATGTGAAAGTTTACCATAGGGTACATGGGATATGAATGATACTTACATGGGGTATGAATGATACTTACATGGGATATGAATGGATATGATTTGATATACCACTATTTTCAGCAAAACCATTTCAAATCTGCTTTGTAAAAAGAAACATGCGGGTTTCCATTCAAGTCCAATTTCATGTTGGTCAAATTCCCGTGACCAGCAAATAGTTTTATAATTGTTTAAATTTAAATATCCGATGGTCGATGGTAAAACAAAATTACTATGAACAGTCTGTGAACCAATGACTTGTTGGCTTAAATCACAAGTCACTATTCATACTGGTGGTATTTAAACCACCACAGCTTAGACCTTGATAGTTTTGACCAATCAAGAAATACAAGACCCCATTGTTTCCCAATAAATCACAACTCTTGTTGCTCAACCAATCTGCAATATGATCCCTATGATGTACGTATGTTTGGACAACGCCATTCATTATACTACGTTAAAAATTCACATTTTGGCACGTTGAAACAAAATTACGTTTTTTTCGACCCATAAAGAATCATAGCATCCAACTGTTTCAGTCCCACTTTTGTTGCTCAACCCATCATACTATGAAACAAAGTCATCGTTGACGGGATTTTTTTCATCCCCATTTCGGCAAGTGAAATCCAACTAATCCAAGCCATGGATGGAACCTTAAGATACATTCTGACCACGATAAGTAATAAGAACTCACCATATAATAACTCACCAGAAAAGAACTCAGTCATAACATCACTAATATGACGATCTTACCAGGTAGGACGTTGGAAACCTCTAACTCCCTTCAAGAATTGGCTACTCTCAGTGTCAAACTGTTTTGGGGGATAGTGAATCAATTTTCAGCCATCTGCCCATATTTATCATTGGTCAAATCCCTATTTTGATGAATGCCACCCTTTTAATAGGGTTTTCATTTGATGCCTTCTTTGTCTGCAATCCCCTTTTTATATGCATCCCTGAAAAGCTATAGAACACTGAAAACACCTTGATAAACCCAGATGATTAAACCCCATATTCGATTAAATAATCAAATCACATATAATAAAACCCCATATTTGGTTGATTAAATCATTGATTAAATCCATACTGTAGTGCTGATATACGGGTTATATTATCTATCTATGTAAATCAATATCAATTCCTCAATATTGATGATTTAATCAACCAACATGGGATATGTCAAACTCCTGGTTTGGGCTTTAGTGATGAATCTCTATATGAGGTTTCAGTTGTTTTGATGATTATGTCATTGATCAAATCCATGTCTTAAATCCCCGGTTTCAATGAGTAACATTTGGAAATTTAAAATAGCTATGGGAATCACTACAAATAGGCTGATGTCATCACTACAATTCAAGATTTTGTAAAAAAAAACTGCCCATCGTCAAATAGTAGGTAAATCATCTGTACTATCATCTACTTAGCTATCCACCATATACTTCCCACAATCCATTAGATAGTAAAAAAAACTACCCATTATTCATTTCATAGGTCAATCATCATAAATAATCTACTTAGTCACCATTTACATCATGTTGCATCCAATTACTGACCATTTTCACTGACCATGAATCATAGCTATCCACCATGATCTACCCGTTACCCTCTGGTTATTCAACATAGCCATGGAAGCCATGGCTCATAGAAATAGATGGTTTACCGTTCTTAAAAATGGTGGATCTTTCCAGTTCGCGAACTGTTAGTCATAACCAGATGGTACAAAATTTACTGACAATGAATCATCTGGTTATGACTAACATAATTAGCCATGGAAAGATCCACCCATTTTTAAGAACGGTAAACCATATATTTCTATGGGTCATTTCCCATGGCTATGGCTGATTAACCATGGTTGATTTTGAGGACGGTAAACCATCAAAAAAGTACCAGCTGGTTACAAATCCTCCAATGGACTCCAATGGACAGATCCCACCTGGTGAAGATACGTCGCCTGTGCGCGCACCAACGCCAAGGCGCGACGTTGACAGGTGGTCAACCGGACGACCTGCCGGAGACCATTCGAAACGGATGGAAGGACGTTCAAGGACGAAAATCATGGGAAAATCCATGGAAAATCCATGAAAACACCTGGTGAACATGGTGAAAATGGGGGGTTCACATGATTCTACCATAACTTAAAGCAGTCGGAAATTCACCAAGAACAAACACGGTCGAATCAACAGAAATGAATTGTTGGAGAAACATGTTGGCTTAACAAACAGACTGGATTAATTAATAACTGGTCATTCATAGCCATGTACATGCAAGAAACCAAAGCATCGCATCTTCGGGTACCTTACCCATAAGATCCCATCAGGTCATATCAACCCTTCCCTCCGGATATCCTACCATCTATATGTTGTCATGTACTATATCATTAGGTTTATCATATGTCAATAACACTTTTAAAATTAATGGGAACGTACCAAAAACATCTAACTTGGAGGATCAGCATCTCATGTATTCCCATAGATCGTAAGTCCCGATTTCCTGGGCTTCTCCCATACCCTATGTTTGGCCCTATGGATCCAAATCCTTTCTGAGAAGGTATTGCTGGATCCATAGGGATAGCAACATTAGTTATATGATATATGATCATGTAATATCACATAATATATCATATAAGATCATAATTAATATCGTGTATTATTCTGGAAAACATAATAATATAATATTGTATATATTATAGTATACAATATATATATATATAATAATATTATATAATTTTAATTAATGGGATATATCACCAGCTCCTTAAGTGGGATGCTCCAAGTAGACCCGGTCACCCCAGCTTCGCGGTCACCTCTCGCGTCTCGGAGGCCGGAAAGACGGCATCCCAAAAGGGTTGGTCTTCGTCGTGGATACCAACCTCCCGATATCAACGGGGGACGGGACCTGGAAAAGTCACTGGGAAATCCTTCGTTTTATCTTCTATTTTCAAGAGGCAAAGTCAAGAAAATCACGGTAAATCATGGTAAATCATGATAAATCGGAATAATTGCGGTAAATCATCATGTATTAGTTATCCTTGATTGAGTCGTTGAATGGGGAAAATCAACAAAAATCTTGTCAGAATGTTCACCAGGCGGGCAACAAACATATACTATAAATACGTATCACGTATCCGTATGTACATATATATATATATATATGTGGAAAACCTTCATTTCAGTAATATCCCAGAAACTGGTTGTTTGTTTCACTTCCAAGTTCTGCCTCGATGTACAGTCTTCCCTTACCTCATATAATCCCCATTGGTACACTCTTAAAGGGCTAGCCAATCTGTTTACCAAGGTATATTGATGCGATCTTATAATCTATGATTGGATTTATATTCAAACCACACTCCTTGCTCTATTGTTTGGAAAAATCAAAATCCGGATCTATCATTGCCTGAATCACTGCTTGGTGGTTTTGGCCTGTCCGAAGAGGGATTCGTTGAGACCAATCCCTCCTATTTCGAATTCAAACGGCGGGTTTTTCACCAAAAGCTATTGGAATTTTCGGCTTTGCCATCTGAAAATTAGGGCTACCCCATTCCATCCAGTGGTTTGTTTAAACCCTCATGTTTATCCCATGTTTTTCGGTGCCATGGTGCTGAATCCCCCAAGTTTTCAGGTGAAAGCCGGCACCTCGCGCAGTGCAGCCGCCACTTCAGCATCTTCCGAGGTGCTGACGATCCAATGCGAAGGGACGCAGGTGGCCTTTTTAGTCCTGCGACAACGGCTGGTCATGGAGACAGGGACATCCCAAGGGGGACCAAAAAAGAAGAAAACCAAGGGCCACCAAGGGCCACCAAGGGGGGAGTCGTGATGGCGTTGGAAGTCGTTGAATATTGGGGGGATGGGACTGATAGTCGACCCAGTCGGCTTTCATATGAGCTTTGACGAACACCGGATGAGGTGATGGGATTTGATAGATGGGGTATCGGATTGTAGTATTCCTATGTATTTCTGGTATTTCAGAGTTTGAGAGGGAAAGAATAGGTTACAGCAACAATGGAATTCGTTGGGCATCTTCAGCACTAAAGTGGAAGATCTCTCCTAAAATATCCAAGTGGAAAAGGACCTTCAAGCAAGAGATGTAAAAACATGTAAAAGTAATAGAACAGCAAAGGGATGAAAGCGGCCAAGGAGTGCAACGATGGACTTTTTGGCTCTTGCCATAATTCTAGTGAATCATGTATATAATATACATCAAATAGCGTAAAACAGAGATTATGAAAATCACAAAAAAGAGTGCGACACCGGCCCCACAGCAATAAATCAGGTACTGCCCTCAAAATCGGAAGTGGATGGTGAATGAAAGTGGATCAGATTGGGTACAAAATTGGGAAGCTTGAAGGCATCAGATGCAAGGTATTGCTCGAGCGTGTTTGAGCTTGACGAAGAAACAAAGATGTTGCTAACTTCGCCCCAATGAGGGAGGCAAACAATCCATGCAGGGTGCTTTGAAGTAATTTAGGGCTGAGTACTAGCCGCTTTGGTTGTGGTTTGCGTTTGCCTGTCAGTTCGCCCATCACATGTTTCCTCACCAGCGAGATGAGGTTGCCTCAGAATTTGGAACCAAAGGCTGGAATTTCAACTATCGGTCATGAGAAGCTACGCCAAGGTCGATGGCCACCAGTTGATCCGATTTTTATCGCTGATTACCAATTGCATCCCTATGATTCCTGTTTCTTGGTATATTCATTCATAGTGATAGATTATTAGAACCAGTGAAGACTACACCCCCGGAGAACTAACACCGAATCCGCCTAGAAATGGTTTTCAGAGGCTTTAGATGGATGGGGTTGTGGACCCGTGGACCCCAAATGTGATACTTCAGTCGCCCCAAAAAACCGAGGAAACTATCAGGATTTCTGTGTGAAACACACCTCAATTGATGATAAAAACTCCCACTTTTTGATGGTTTAGACATGTTTAGACCATGGTTAGAGCATGGTCATCCACCCCCCCCAGCAATCTCCGGTTCTGGACCCCTGCCCTCCTCTCCAATGTCGTCGGATCTCGCAAGAACTCTAACTCCACTTCCAGCTGAGAAGGGCCCGCCATATCATCATCCTCCGGGGAGATTAAGCCCCAAAGAAACCAAAGTTATGGAATTTTCATGGGATTTTAGTACATGTTGATGGATTTTAATGGATTTTAGTGAGATTTCATGGGTATGATAGCCCACAATAGCCGATTTATCAGTAATATGGGGACCCATGATTCCATGATTGTAGAAGAACCCCAAAGACAAACCAAGATCATGTCTATAGCTAATGGTTACTAAGTTACATCCATTCTTCTTGCTGCTCCACCTCAACAAAGCTTGTGTATATGCAGAGAATCAGAAGCAACGAACCTGTTGTCGGATATCTCCTCATTCTTGTTCTTGGCTATTTACATACCGTTTTCGTTGCCGATAGCATTTACCCCCATTTTGTTGATGATGTAAATTCCAGTTCTTGTTGGTCAAAACTCACTTTCTGTTGGTCAACCCCCAATTTCCTTTGAAGTCCCCAATTTTAACCAGCTTCAACCATCACTTAGCGTTACATAGACATTTTTTGAACCCCATCGGAATGTGGGTCGAGTCTGCCTCTTTGTTGGCTGAAGTCCTATGCTTCGTCGCATCCTTTTCTCAGATGGGGGTTGATAAAGAAAATGATGTGGCTCGGGTGGTTGCATGTGGTTACCAAATATGCCAAAATGCTTTGAATATCTTTGAAATTCTTTGAATAAATATGAACTAATTATGGGAATATGATGATCTTAGTCCTTAGTTTGCTTCTCAGTTTGCATTATCTTAGTTAATTAAGCAAACTAATATCATATCATTATGGTGATCTTAGTTTGCTTCTCTTCACTGTCCTTGTAATGAACCCCCAAGACCACCGCTTCTTCGGGCTCCGGTGACTTGTAGCGATCTGGCTTCACGCCTGCCTCTCACTGACAGGCGTCCAAATGTGGCGAGAGAAACAAGAATCTTCAAGCCATTTCAAACCACGAATATTGGATAAAATTGGAATTATGGGGGATTTTCATGCATGAAACTTAGCCAAGAATTGAACTAATTATTTTTTTGCCAACTGAATGGTTTTGTGGGCAAATCCCAACTCTTTGTCAGATCTCCCGAAAGTTTGCGGTTTAAACCCTCCATCTCAGTTCATTTCTTCTATTTCGGATGGAATTCTCCTATTTTAGAGGTTGAATCGCCCGTTTTTCGTTGGATTTCATTGGGTTATAGTTAAGTCTCTCCCTTTTTGATCTTTACGTTGGCCAAATGAATTATATCCCAACTTTTCTGATTTCTGGCTTGAATCTAAGTTGAATCCCGATTTGTCTTCTTTAATCAAATGCATGTTTTCATCAGTTGAACTTCGTTCAACATCGTTGAACCCCCCATTTTTCTCCAGGTTTTCCCAGTTTTTGGGGCTCAGGAAATCATCAAAATCTCCCAACCAGCCAGGGGCACATAGAAATGCGCCAGCACGCGCGCCCCAATGGCCACCCCCGCCATGCTCAACGTGTCGCGCCGCGTCTCCGCCACACGCCGGCGGCGTTGCTCAAAGAGCTGCTGGATCTCAGGTGCAGCTGGGGTGGGACGATGATCCCATCGGAAAAAACCATGGGGATTTCACCAACAAACATGGAAAACCATGGGGGGAAAAATATGGATAAAATATGGCAAACACTGAAAATTCAGCAACGAAAATAGAATGTTATATTTACTGTAACCAACCAAAAACCAGGAATTGAACCTTTTAACCAGCATAAACCAACATAACATCGCCACATCAACTTGGGAGTTAGTTATCTAACCAACATTCCACCAACCTTAAAACAATGTGGATCCAACCAAGCAAAAATGGGGATTTGGTCTGGAATGGGAGCCCTACTGACCACTGCTATTGAGCGCAGGATTTGCCCAAGAAATGTGTCACTTAAATTGGGTACATCAGCCAGGATGATATTGGACCATGGAGATCTCATTTGGGGGTGGGTAAATCCGCTATATCACCAAGCGCTTGATAATTGGGATGAAATGGGGATACTTCAATCGGGTGGCAATCGCTTACTATGATGAAACACATGGAAACTCCACCATACCCGGAAGCCCAAGCGTTGCGCCGCAGCTCCGACATGCTCCAGGTGGAGATTACCTATTGAATCTATTGATGATCTCTACCCTCTGGTAATTTAACATAGCTATTGAAAATGACCATTTATAGTGGATTTTCCCATGAAAAATTGTGATTTTCCATAGTTATGTTAGTTTACCAGAGGGTAACCCAAAATGTTGAAGCATGTTGAAGCCCTGTTGCCTCTCCAAACATTTCTCAGCTCTCTAGAACTCTGGTGGCACCTCTGGTGGCACAGCCATCACTCCCCGGAACTTGAGGATTTTGATGCGAGCGACCCCACCCATGCGGCCAACAAAGTCTTGAAACTCCGACAGACTGATTTCACCTGGAGCCCCCGGTAAAGCACCCCCTGGTGCCCGGTGATGGAAAAGCATAACTGATGGAAAGGGTCGAAAAGCCAAAAACATCCAAAACCCACAAAATATATGGAGTTTATGTGTCAATCAACATCTAGCAGAATCTAGCACCATGTCTCAGGATCAAAAAAGTTGAAGCCAAATAATTAGAGAAGAACCAGTGTCTGCGGAATCCAGTAAGAAGACAAAACACAACTCACCTGCAAGTCCTGAGGGTCCCTATTATGGTGGCAAGTGGGTGTCTGAAAGTAAAAATGAAACTGGGCTGATTTGAGGGAAACTCCACTGGAAACTCCAACTATATAGGAGCTGCTTGCTGTGGATTTTACCTCAAAGTTGTTCTTTCACTTTCGGTGTCGCATCAGGCAAACTTCTTGTGGAGGCAGAATGGATGCAAATGACATCTCAGCTATCCAAAATTCCAGCAGCTGGTTCCGTGAAAAGGAATGATTGTCTAAACGTCAATCCATAATAATCTAAAAGCTAAACGTCAAATCCATGATCTAAAGGCTAATTCGCAGATTTTTTGTAATTTCGAGGCATTCAGCCCTAGACAGCCCTATTTCCTTGGCAGCACCCAAATATGGATAGCAGTACGCTGACTCAATGTGTTTCCACAGATCTCCCAAATTTCTTAGGTGACATGGTATGCAGATGTCCAAGCAAACTAAGCCTATGATAATTGCACTGTTTTGTCGTTCTCAATGACACTACATTACTTTAACAAAAAAATGCAAACAACCTGTCAAAAAAAATGGACAAATATCAAGTAGCACCGGGGTATTCCTGTAACATGTTCCTTCAATTCGTGGAGAAATCCATCGGCTGATTTCTCATCATTTACCTCAAACTTTTGGAGAATTCATGGGGGAACTTTCCCCATTTCAGGTACCGCACCGAAATACATCAGATTGTTGTGTAATTATCATATATATATATATATACCGTGCGTATTTATATATATATATATACATATGTGTACATAATATATTAATATATGTACATATCTGTGTGTATATATATACATTATCATATGAACATGTATATTATTATATGAGTATGTAAGTATATCATTATCCCATTATATTCTATGAAATATCAACAATAATTTCCCATGTTATCCTATTTCCAGCTCGTATGGTGATTATCTGTCATCAATGATGTTCATAGATATATATGTTCCTAATCATCGCCTATAGTATATGATTTCCACCTGGTGGTTTCAACCCCTCTGAAAAATCATGGACTTCGTCAGTTGGGATGATGAAATTCCCAATACCCTCTGGTAAACTAACATAGCTATTGAAAATGGCCATTTATAGTGGATTTACCATTAAAAATGGTGATTGTCAATAGTTATGTTAGTTTACCAGAGGGTATATGGAAAGTCATAAAATTCCATGGTTCCAAACCACCAACCAGTATGGATACATGATAATCTCACCTTTAAAAAATCATATGACCGCCTTTGCCCGCCGTCGCGCACCGTCGGTGTTGTGATCTAAATCTTTGGGGTTGACATCAACACCCAGGTAGGCAGCCAGGCGCCTCATTGCCCACGAGTCCGTTTCGAATGGGATTTCATGAGGATTTGAAATGCTTAAAACATCTTAAAACTATGGCTTTCAGTTGAAACATGTAAATGCAATAAAAGCAATTTCAGGGGGGTTTAATGGCGAATGTCCGAGAAAAACTATTGAACACATTTAAAAACTGATAACCGAGAATGAATAGATCCAACAAGAAACAAGAGTTTTCCAATGGGCATTCAATATGTGTGGAAGGGGATTATAAATGTGTGTATAGTCCCGATATCATGTATGGTACAATGTTACAATCACTTAACCCTCGAAGCCTGGGCGCAAACCCCTTGCTTCGTTGTTCGCCAGGATTCCGGGGTAATTGGTTCATCTCTGTTTCAACATTGCAAAAAACAACAAGTTCTCAGCAAACACCCCGGCAATCTACTTACAGACTCCACAAAACCCTAAGATTTGTAGGTTTTCGGTTTAACCACATCCAAAACAACCAACGTCCAAAACACCTATCTTGCCACTGTTTTTGGATTCAGATTCCAGTTTCCAGTTGGTCCATTTTCCTCCATTCCACGGCTAACAACTCAATTCACAGCGATTCACACCAACCAAGAATATTACTCAGTGCAACACGGGTTTGTCTGAGAATAGGGTACTCCTACCCTCTGGTAATTGAAAATGGCGATTTATAGTGAGTTTTCCCATGAAAAATGGTGATTTTCCATAGTTATGTTAGTTTACCAGAGGGTAACTCCAATGGTTTGCCATGGTTTTCCTTCCCTTTTTCTTTACAGTTCCATGGTGGTCCAATGATGATCATTGGTTATACCTGGCTAACAACCGCATTTCAGTATGGTTCAATTAATATACCCATTTCAAATGATCTTTACAACCCCATCAAAAAACCCTATGTTCAAACACATTCAAACACCATCAGACACTCATTAATATTCTTCGTAATGAATAGGTCCCACTATATTCCATGATCTCCCCATGATCTCCCCATGATCTCCCCATGATTTCCCCATGATCTCCGGAGTTTTTTTTTTTTCATCACCATGCCGGGTCGCATCCACCAACAAAAATCTCCATGATCTTCCCATGATCTTTACCATTATTTTCCCATGATTTCCTCATTATCCCATTATTTCACCATGATCTTCCCATGATTTCCCCATCAAACATATCCCGCTTTCCCCAGCCAGGTCACATGATCTCGGTTTCATCTAGATGTTTGGATTCGTCCATATCAAAACGTCTGAAGGCCGTTGAGATCCGCGTCATGTCGGTGTTCAAACCCGTGGTCACACGAGCTAAACAAACCTGGCATGTTTGGGTACACGGAAGTTGTTTGACGTTGGGGATGGAACTTGATTTTGTTTGGGGATGGAAACCAGTTAGAACATGTTCTAATCATAATATCTATTTATATATATATAATTATATATATATATATATGGAAAAGTTAATAGAAGCTATATATGACTTAGAATCCTATATTTCAAAAACTGGGATGCACATCCAAGTGGAGATCACGGGGGATGAAGTCTTTCAAAATGTGGAAAGTGGATGGACAGATGGAAAATTTGAACCAAAGGGGAGGAGACTTCAATTTTTGGATTTAGAGATGATACTTTTAGGCTTGATTATCGTTGAATTATAGTTATTTAGTTATTAGCTATTTAATCCAACTATGTGTTCTTGAATCAATCCAATAATTTATTTATAGAGGCTTATTAAGCCCCATTGTTGGGGGGGTCCCTTTGGCGAGGTACCATTCGATTTGCATAATATCTTTACAGGCACTTGTTCATGGAAAGTTTCCACCAACATCATTCACCTGAAGACCAGCCTTCATCAAGTGAAACCATCAACCTCCGCAGAATATGATAGCGCGCACTTCTGACATTTTTTAGGGATCGCAGTGAAGTCATTAAACTCTACCCATTTTCTAACACCAACAAGACACCATTTACCATTGGCGAATCTTTCATACTAAACATAACAGCGTCAATATAGTTGTATTACATATCCATACATATCCTATGTCGTCACAATTCGTCACATGTCAAGTTTTTCACCCATCATAAGCCTACACGGTCGACCCTGGGTGAATTACCCCGATATCTTCAACGAAACCACTTGGATCGACTTTCGGTCCCCATGGGTCCCCTTTCGCACCTTGGCTTCCGCTACTTTGGAATCGGCCAAGAGTTGTGAGCAGCGACTCACCCAACCTGGGACGCCCCTTGGTCGTTTTAGCTCCCTAAAGGTAGGAATGATGGCGGAGACCTGGCTGGCCATTCTAAGTGGCTCTGTTGAAAAAAGGGATACCCAAAAGAACATTTAAAAAAACCATAAGAACCCATAGTTTATCAATGTTTATCATCATTTACCCAATGAAAATTGACTTTACTTGCCACTAATGCAGTAAATCCCATGGTGAAAATTCGCCAAAAACCAACGCCCGTGAGTTCAGCAACCGTGCAAGGGATGTCGAACATGGGCTGTCTGTGGATTGAGATACTTGTGCTGCTCTAGCAACTCCTGGCCACTGATGATGGCTACGCTGATTTTTTAGTATCACTAGTTTTGTTGAATTATGAGTAAGAATGATATTATACATACTCTATTGTCAGTACCAATTTATCACAATTATATCATCATTTCAAATAATTTATCTATAGACTACTATATTTTTTGTTGTACTTATGGGCCAAATCGTGCTTTAAATTATTTTTAAATAAAGGTCGAACGGAACAATGGGAGGAACTTGGGACGATGCCCCCGTTTTTTTGGTGCCCTGGGATTCCTTGGGGTGTCTCTACTTGGGATCCGAATCCTCAGTTTTAAGTGATGGTCAATATTGGTCAATGCAAAGAGGTTTGCTTTTTTTAAGCCAAGTCTTTGAGGATGAAATCATCATGCAAACTCTTTGATGATCAAGCAATAAGAGGTGGCGGACGTATATTTTTACACCAATCATATTTGATGGTAAAACCCGTTGAGAGCCTCGATCCCAAATAGATCAAGTGGTGGCTTCATGAACATCACAGACGGCTCAAAATTGAGGTATCAATGAGGCCACAAAACTGGTCATGGTTGGTTAAAATATAAGCTATTTCGGGGTTGACATGTATAAATGTTCAACATAATTCAACCATTCTCAGCGATGTTAGCTCATTTTTTACAGCATCCAATTATATGCATCAATCCATCATGAATCGTATCGTAAACCATCATATCCATCTTCCACCCATGATTTTTCAATCACCCCTCCACCCTGGCACCCGTTAAATCCGTCCCCATTTGCCCATGGGATGCCGTGGGTCCTGCAATTCCTTTGCCACTGCTGTGGCTTCAGCGCTGCCAGATTCCGTCACCTGGGTTGGCTTACCCCAAGGTGGGTGGTCATAAATGGCTGGTTGATGTAGAAGGTTGAATAGTTGGCTTAGCGGCTTGCTTCTTGCAAACGTTTAAAATGCTGTGGAGAAACCGATGCCATCCACCCGATATTAAATACCCCCATATGAGCCCTCAATCTGAATTTGGCCAGTACTGTGAAGCGTGGCTTTCTGGAGAGTATTTATAGTAGGTGGGAGGGATTACCATGAAACATTTTGTCCAATGGACACAGTCCAAGCAACAAAGACCACAACTGAAATGCGTTGCTTTCTCATGCTCTCGCCATCGATATATTTCTCCAAACTTGGTGTGGATGCTAGTGTGCTCTATTCTATCAAACTTAAGACCAAATCATCACTGATGCATTACCATGAGTTACCTTTGTCTCCCTGGGCCTCAGTCTGTACCCACTTCACCTATCTCCATCTATAAGTTCACGCATCTGTATGCATCTGTCTATTTGTTTGTCTTTCAATCCATCTCTTCTGTCTCATCCATCCCTCAGTCACTCCATCCATCCAATGCTGCAATTCCTTTCTGTCAACTCAAATTCCATGGTAATGTCATGTCTGACTGAGTGCACCAACTAGATCTGTCTTCAAATGGATGAATGATGAATTTGTCCGACACATGCCTACCTCCATGGAATTAATCCCTTGTTTTCAAGAATCTGTTTTAGAAAGTCCTGTTCACCATGTGTTTCGGATCGGGTGAGCGCTTGACAGAAGAGGCCAAGTGACTGTTTTGAGCACCGGCACGGGATCCACATAGCTTCTTGGCGTTTCCAGTGCAAGCACATGTGGCACATTTGGTAGAGCAGGAACCGTCTTTGGCTCCTCAGGCTTGGCATCAGGCTTGGGCTCATCCTTCTTTTCCTCCGCCTTGGGCTCTTCAGGCTTGGCATCAGGCTTGGGCTCATCCTTCTTTTCCTCCGCCTTGGGCTCTTCAGGCTTGGCATCAGGCTTGGGCTCATCCTTCTTTTCCTCCGCCTTGGGCTCTTCAGGCTTGGCATCAGGCTTGGGTCATCCTTCTTTTCCTCCGCCTTGGGCTCTTCAGGCTTGGCATCAGGCTTGGGCTCATCCTTCTTTTCCTCCGCCTTGGGCTCTTCAGGCTTGGCATCAGGCTTGGGCTCATCCTTCTTTTCCTCCGCCTTGGGCTCTTCAGGCTTGGCATCAGGCTTGGGCTCATCCTTCTTTTCCTCCGCCTTGGCTCTTCAGGCTTGGCATCAGGCTTGGGCTCATCCTTCTTTTCCTCCGCCTTGGGCTCTTCAGGCTTGGCATCAGGCTTGGGCTCATCCTTCTTTTCCTCCGCCTTGGGCTCTTCAGGCTTGGCATCAGGCTTGGGCTCATCCTTCTTTTCCTCCGCCTTGGGCTCTTCAGGCTTGGCATCAGGCTTGGGCTCATCCTTCTTTTCCTCCGCCTTGGGCTCTTCAGGCTTGGCATCAGGCTTGGGCTCATCCTTCTTTTCCTCCGCCTTGGGCTATTCAGGCTGGCAAGGCTTTGGGCTCATCCTTCTTTTCCTCCGCCTTGGGCTCTCAGGCTTGGCATCAGGCTTGGGCTCATCCTTCTTTTCCTCCGCCTTCTTCAGCTTGGCATCAGGCTGGGCTCATCTTCTTTTACATCACTTGGGCTATGGGCTCAGGCTTGGCATCAGGCTTGGCTCATTTCCTCCGCCTTGGGCTCTTCAGGCTTGGCATCAGGCTTGGGCTCATCCTTCCTTTTCCCTCCGGCCTTGCTCTTCAGGCTTGGCATCAGGCTTGGGCTCATCCTTCTTTTCCTCCGCCTTTGGCTCTTCAGGCTTGGCATCAGGCTTGGGCTCATCCTTTTTTTCCTCCGCCTTGGGCTCTTCAGGCTTGGCATCAGGCTTGGGCTCATCCTTCTTTTCCTCCGCCTTGGGCTCTTCAGGCTTGGCATCAGGCTTGGGTTCATCCTTCTTTTCCTCCGCCTTGGGCTCTTCAGGCTTGGCATCAGGCTTGGGCTCATCCTTCTTTTCCTCCGCCTTGGACTCTTCAGGCTTGGCATCAGGCTTGGGCTTATCCTTCTTTTCCTCCGCCTTGGACTCTTCAGGCTTCGGTTGGCTTTCAGGCTTTGGTCTTTCTAAATCGTGCCGTGTCTTTGAGCTCGTAGCAACTTCAGGCGGCCTGCGGAGCAAGGGTGCCCTCAGCAATTTCAGCAGCAAATCTGAACCGCGGTCAAGGGAGGCCAATCCCAATCGTTAGGTTGCTATCTTGAGGGATCACAATCTCATACCAAATGTCATATACGGCAGTTTGATCTCCGATCAACCACCATTTCATTGGGTAACTCCCAAATTCACTGTGGTTTCCTGATTCTTGATGGCCCACCCAACCGCCCGACCTGTCAGGTGATAGGCGCAACATCAAGGCTGTAGAGTTGACAGCACCTGCGAATGGTGCTGGCGACTAGTGACTACTGCCGGAAATTTAGGGCCCAGAAAACCCGCTTTTGACCAGCATCAGTGTGCAGTTGCGTTGGTATCTAGACCAAAATTGTCGGGATGCCCGCAAGGGTGAGATCTCACCATCACGCAGGAATCTGAGCAAAAAGAGTGAGAATTGAACTGTAGGACTGTTTGGATTTGAATGATTTTGATCAATTTGAGGATTGAAGCCGTGGATGGACCATCAATAAGGACAATATTGTCCAAACGATGGGAGAGCGCCAGTGGCATTGATTTTGCCTGTGCCGAAACGAGACTAACTACCTGTATCCACCGGCAGATTGTGGGCCCCCAAGTGGTGTGGGCAACTGGTCCAATCTCAGGATTGCCAAACATCCTCGGATCATTTCTCGTATATATATATATATATAATTTATATACACATATACAATCATATACACACATATATATGGTTCCGAATTCCCAAATTGGTGGTGTGCCGATCATGCAGCTCGCACCTGCATGTACAGCATACCAAAGTGGACTTCGATCCAAATAATCCACCTATCAGCAGCATGAGATGCAGCTTGATGTCTCAAGATCTTGGGGACCCAACTCTGTGACCGAAGAGCTGGTGCCAGCTTCTCGAATTACTGAGCCATCAAACAAAAGACTTGGCTCAACATCTGGGCAAGTTACATCAAATTGCGATATGGATCTATATGGGTATTTCCTGAAATGGGGGTAGCCCTAAATCACCTATTCAAATGAGATCTTCCATGATAAACCATCCATTGATAGGGGTATCCCTATGAAAAACCCCATATTTCCCAACTCAGAACGAAGCCTTTCACCTTCAATGAGAGGCCTCTGCCCTGCTGTGATACTCGGTGCCTGGTGTGCACAACACTTCCCCAGCAACAAGGTATTCCTCAGCTTGGTTCGGTGTCTGTTGCAGCTTCCCAACTCATCAATCTTAGCAATGGGGTTGACTGTTGAAGGCCCATGTTGATCAAACTTTGGTCCAAATTTGGGGTATCCGCCACCAAGAGGCAAGATCTCCCACTGCTCCTCTGGTACGGGATTGCCCAAAGCATAGTACAGAGGATTGCGACCCAGCTTGTCCTCCAGCTGACCATGTGATCAGTTGTGCCATGGTCAAGTTACATGAGATTCAAGGGGTATGGCCATTCATCCTGGAATGGGAATCCCTATAATGGGTATATAAGACCCTACGGAACCCAAGTACATAATCTATGACCATCGCCAGAATGCGTACAGTATACGATCTAACTTTGAACCATGGCACACTTCATCTACAATCCGAGCTTTGGAGGATGATTTTTCATTGGAGAAGCACTGGTATTTTGCTTTCAAACGATTTTGGTTAGAGATCATCCCCTGATGCGCCTCACCTTGAAATCGGCATGGAAAGACCAGTTTTGGTAATCGTCATCCCAAAATGCAACAGCCACCTCCATTAAAACTTAGGATGATTCGAACTAATAACTCATAGGTGGTGATTGTGTTACCAAATGTTATCAGTTGTTAGTTGGGTATGGATCAATACCTATTAATACCATTTTGAGTGGGATGAACATCCATTTACCAGCTATTTTGATGTTCACCAGGGGTACAAGGTTTTGACACACTGCCAGTTCCTTACGTATCTCGTATATTGTTGGTAACATAATCACCACTCAGTTGACGCTCAAAACCTGCTGGATAGCAGAAAATCAGCTCGGATCGGCCCTTAAAAAGACCTGAATGTGCCATGGTCAAAACATGTCAAAACATGGTTATGGATGGTTATGGTATGTTATGGTTATGGTATCCCATAGACATCTGTTGGTATTCCTTGGGTTATGGTTATGGTTATGGAAACCCACCAGTCGACTGGAATCCAAAAAATCGTAGTGGGATGACCCTTGTCCCAATAAAATCCAATGGGTTGATCATGGTTTATCCATGGGTTTATCTAATTGGTTGATGTTGATTTTTTAGTTGGTTAGTGTTAAAAAAATATCCCAAGTATTAATTACCAATTGGATCCAATTGGTATCTGTATCCATCATTATATCATATATCTATCCAAAAATCCCAATGACTATCCCATGAAATCCTATCATTTGCTCGGTCAAATCTTCATCGTTTTGACAGTCCCAGCCTGAGAATGTAGAAGCTCAGGTTGCACGTGCAGCAAGAGCTGCAAGACTTGCGACTTGCTACAACAAGCCTGGGGCTTATGAGGTGCCCCGTTCCGCCATCAGTTGGTCATGTTGTGGTTCCAGAAAAAAATCAACCTATCAATTTGCACATCAACTGCAATGAAATCCTATGAATGTAGGCTTCATTTGTTCAGAATTGAAACCAAAACCTGCTATGAAATCCAATGGGAACGTGGCTGCTTGATTGTTTGACTGCGACTTCAAAGACAATCGTAGCATCCCCTGATGTTGGGCATTGTTATGAGTCATGGGAGACATCAGCCCGCCCCAAAATGTACGTTCGACCAAGCCACCAAATGGAGAGCATTCCTGAAAGCGCTGGCACCATGGGCACCATGATTCATTTGGATTCACCGAATATCTTTAGTAATTAGAGTTTACTTGTCCGGTGATTGGAGCAAACAAGCATGATCATGTCAAACGCACTGACCACCAAACCGCCTCAACCAAGCCCAAACTTCCCCCAGCTCCATCCCAACCCTATTAAACCAGTCTTCATTAGTCAAGACCGCTATGGAATCCCCAGAATTATCCAACATGCACATCTGCCACTTCCCTCTCACATCAGCCCCCAAGCCCCCCAGGTTTGTGCTGGCTTACCATCATGTTTCCCCTATGTTCATTTACCGGATTGGTTAAAGGGATTTGTTCCTACCGGGTGATCGGTGTCAATTTCCCCCCAATCCATTGGTGGAAAAATCCAACACCCCAACCCCCCAACCCCAACCCCAACAATGGCCCAACCCCCGAACTCCCACCCCTGAAAAATTCTGAAAATTCCAAGGTTCCTTCCTTTGGCATCGCAGCTCTGCAGCTGTTTTGAAGCCGACGAGGTGCCCAGCAGCCGCCGCACCACGCCAGCGTGCCCGTGGAGGCTCGCCAGCATCAGCGGGGTGGCCAGTGGGGGACCTCCCACAAGCACCCGAGGCGTGGAAAATGCGTGGGAAACGCGTGGATGGATGGGTCAGAAATGATCGAAAAATGAGAAAATTCAGCTTTGACCTGAAATTGATGGAAAATGATTGAAGATGGCTTGGAAGCGGCTTGGAAGTTGACCAAGCCCGGACACAGAATCAAAATGAAGCCGCCGGCCCGCCTGACGTGCTAAGGGCATCCGCTTTCTTGCGGAGGAGCAAATCACAGACCTGTCGCAACGCTCCACCCGGGCGCCTGGGTGCCTCTTGTAGGGTGCCTCTGGGTGAGATAGATTAACATTTGGATCGAAAATGCGGGATACCGGGTGTTCACCGGGATACCCCGAATCGCCATATTAAGTGGGAACTTTATGATACACCACTGGATTTGGGGTACCCTATTTTCAGATAACCCAATTTTAAATGTCACCTTCTGTGCTGAAGGCATCAGAAGGCATCGTTCCTTGGAACTGTCCAGCAAATTCCACAAACATTTGGCACATGTGTTCGTTAAGTTAGGTTGGTAGTATTTATGCTTCAACAAATGGAAAGGCTTACCAACATCTGTGGGCTGATTGATCCTCATATTAGATTGTTCTGGTCAGCTGAAACCCAATTTCTTGGAGTTCAAACCGCTGGTGATTGCTGTTCATGAGGTGGCATATCCATGTTCTTCATCTTTGTTGGTTTAACCCTCATTCTTGTTGGTTGGCCCCTTCTTGCCCCAACAACAAACATGCTCCCAAGAAACCATGCTTTCGTGGTGTATACATGTGGTGTCTCCTTGCTCTTCCGAGGGATGGCATCCCCTTCATTTTTGCTGGCTCCACACCCACTTCCCCCTTCATTGGGCAAAGTAGATCAATTCCGAATATGAATTATATTAACCATATATTAACCATATATATTAACCATATATTAACCATATATATATATTAACCATATATATATTAACCATATATATATATATATATATTAACCATATATATATATATTAACCATATATTAACCATATATTACCAGTATATAAACCACCAACCAGCCACATTAATTCTCCAAACTGCCAAGGGGAACCCCTTTAAACTGGGCCCCTAGAGTCCCTCCCTTAAGAGCCACCTCCAAATGCCCCTGCCGTGCTGCCCAGTGCAGAGGCGTGCGATCGTCAAAGTCTCGAGACGCCAGAACGGAGGCGACATTTTGCTGGTCCAGCTCTGCTTGATCCTGAGTTATCTGAGTTTCGGGGGAAATTGACCAGCTATAGAGGTTACCAGCATGGCTAAAATCATGTTGAATCCAACAAGAAATATTTCATGGAGATTCAACCAGCAGAAATTGCGATTTGACCCGCAAGAATGGAAACTGTGATTTGACCATAACTTGGAATCTGACCAAGAAACCTGATCAAGCATGCAGACTGACCAGCAAAAAGAAAGACTTATTTCACCACAATTGTGGGTGTGTTTTTTCAAACATGGGCATTGAACCAATCAAAAATGCATTTCTTAAAAAATGAAAATTGAGAGGAGACCCATAAGTTTGGCCACATAATATTGTATCTAGAACTTGATCAGTGGCGCAGTATCCTGCCTGTTACTGGAAGAGTTTCCCACTCCATGGATGATACCCCAACGAAAAACATGCATGTAGTGGGATACCCCTATCACCACCAACGAAAAAACATGAGTTGTTTTGTGCAGCTCAGTTGAAAGCACTGGTCAAGTGTCAAACCAGCAATTGAAAGTACCCTGGAAGTCTCACCAATTCATGGATCATTTTCATTCATTTTCCAGAAAAATGATCAAAGCTTGTCCAATGGACAAGCTCAGCATTCTACTCCGTTTGCCAAAGTTCAAGTATGCCTCGGACTTGCAGCACATCACCTGGGAGAATCATCCCATCAAAAGGGATGCAGTCCCAAAGAAATGAGACCACAACCACCCATATCATACCAACCCGCAATTTGCAGGCAAATGTCCAAATATCCAACAGATATGTATACAATATATATATATATACATATTATATATGTACAGTATATATATATATATACATATTATATATGTACAGTATATATATATATATGCCCATGGGTGGTGTATAAATCCTCCAAGAATGGTATAGGTTTATGTCATTGTGTTTCCCACATTAATCCATTTGTTTGGTCAGGTCAGCTATATGTTGGAACTGCTGACAGTCTATCAGAAACTATTGGGGAGTTTTGGTGGGACTATAACAAAAAACTGCAGAAACGATTGGGAAAATTGTGATATAATATGATACAGTATAAGTTATATCCCATAAACTATCCCCATTACAGTCCCATCATGTCCCATATCATACGATCCCCGCCTTTGGCTGCGGCATCCAACAACATCTCTCCCAGCAGTGGCTCACTGATGAGGTCGTTGTGACATGCGTAGCGACGTCCTACTGACTGAAATCCGGAAGGGAATATCTTGTCATAATTTGTATAATGTTAGTAAAGCAATAGGATCCGAATGGATCCGAATTTTACAATAATTTTACCATGTTTATGGGTGTTTACCATCAAAATACGGTCGGTTTATGGCATGCAAACATTAAGTTCCACATAAAAAGTATATATAAGAAAGTAGTAGCAATCACTGAAATCTTGTTCCAAGATTTGTCCCTCGCGCGGATTCAACATGATTCAACCAGCCTAGGAACATAGCGCATAGAAATGGGGATCTTCGAGCACCGCAGTCCTGTCGAGTCCCAGTTCACCGGGAGCTTTGGCGGAACTGTCTCCCAGTCTCTGCTTTGGGGCGACTTGTCCTGCGACCCGACGGCTGCGGTGAAATTTTGGGTCGGACCAACCCAGGTCAAACCTGGGTCGAAGATGGAGGGTTTCTGTTTTCCACTACCCTGGCAGTTTCAAGGACTGTATTCCATCTCACTTTTGCGTCCGTTCTGGCCCTTCCCAGCCATCCTGAGGGGTCGAAACTTGTCGCTTGATCCGCCTCACTCTCATATACCGAGGATTACCGAGGTATGATTATAGTCACTAACAATTATGCCAAGTTTGGGATAGTTGCCCCTACATTCCGGTGACGTCGCAGTGAGGCGCTTAAAATTATCTAGATATATCATAGTGTATCTAGCTATGCTTTTATCACCCCCAACCCCACTTGGGCTGGGGTCCTGTCTGCTCAGTGATGCTGAGGCGGACGGGGGTCTCCGTCCCGCTTCCGAAGAAACGCCGCGCGTGTTTTCTCCTCGCTGGGCTTTGGAGACGGGACTCAACTCCTGCGCGAGGACTCGAAAATCTCCATTGTTAAGAATCATAACACCCCCGTTTACAAAAGAACACGACATTGATAGTGGCAATACATGGCAATACTAAAGTAATGGCATCATTTAAGCATTACCAAAAAAATACAGTGGCAACCACAGCATAACCATTCTATCTTTCCGAGGGAGTGCTATCAATGAATAAGAACGTTTAAATAGAAGAAACACATATATTATCCATGATGTGCTCTATGATGCACCAGTATTCATAGATTTTCAATGAATGGATTTTTCCTGGAGAATATCCAGAAGGTATTAAAGCCTAAGCGGCAAGGATTGGAACTGTTCAAGAAAACCAACCGACTTCAGGATCTAAGATCCTCCAAAAGCAGCCTGGATCTTAACAATTCTTAAGCTGTACCACAGCTTAAGTCGGCTCACACCGCCACTCAAGTTGATTGATCCATGGAATCTGGTACATTTAAATCCTATATTCATAGAATTGGATGATGGGAAAATTTACAGGTTTAAGCCCTATATTTGATGGTAAAAACATGTAAAAACCCTGGGTTTCCGGTTAAGATTTTCCCTTAAACCAATCCAATGATATATTTAAATATCCTCAATGGATATTGGTGAATTGGCTATGGTCTCACAGGATCGCATCACAAAAAATGGAGTGTTCGAAACTGGATCTGCCGGTGATCGTGTTTTTTTTCCTACGGCTGGTGAAAAACCCCTTCTACCCTCTGGCAATTTAGTATAGCCATGGAATATTACCCAGCTGCAAATGATTTACCTTCTGAACGTGGCCATTTTCCCCAGTTATGTTAGATTACAGGAGGGTATATATGCTTTGATCAAGATACTCCAAATAGAGATCAAAGGTCGCCGACAGCACGTTTGAGAAGTGATTTGTCTTTTGTGTAGATGGGCCTAATGGATTTTGATACCCCTACCACACTGTTTATTTTTATCACATGTCATATGGTGGTTTCAACTCATCCTAAAAATTATCTTGGCAAATTGATTCAACCATCCCCATCATTTTCCATCATGTTCCATCATGTTCCATCATTTTTCTAAGAAGAAAGTTTGCCAAAGCATCAAAGTATTCCGACTTCCATCAACGAAACGGCCACACGGCTTCTTCCTCAAGGGATGAGGCTCCTGCCAGATCACGGCTTCTTCGGGAAAGCGCCGTTCGAGCTTTGCGGACCGCGTCGACCGCAGAAAGCGAGTCCTAAGGGCCCTAAGGGACATTGAAAGAAAGAAATGATGATAAAGCATGAACTATCATCAAATTAAAATTAAATGATATCAATGATACCCCATTTTCACACAAAGACATGTCTGCTTTACATAGCCACATTATAACACATGGTTTTTGGTTTTTATAACACACAACAACAACCTCTCGTCCAAAAATCATGATAGTCTTTTGAAAATATGTATGCACAAAAACCGGTTATCTGATATTTATCTGTACAAAAATGTAAATCATCATAATAAAATTCCTTATCTGCAGAGAATTCACACTTAAAGCTGTTTTGTTGCGATTTATCCATCTCTGTGCGTTGCTGAGTCTGAAACCTTGAAATTGATCGCTCATCCCACAAAGCAGCTAGCAGTCAAATGAGTTGCCTCCCCAAAATCTGGATGGTATCCACAAAAAAAACAAAAACAAAAAACATCACCTGTTTTTTCTAAGATTGCAACACTTTTCAACATATTCCAAAGCCTGTCCAAACTATTCACTACATTTCACAACCCTTCAATCGGCATTTAACCAGAAGAAACATCTCAGAGATTCCAGGCATCCGAGGGACTTGGACTCCTCCTTGGGATTCCAATAGGTTTTCCAGGGCGATTTGCTCCGTGATTTGCTCCTTGACTCTCTCCTTGGCAGCCATAGTGATAATAGGACTCATCTCGTGGAAAGGTTGTGAAGTCGTACAAATTATACTATAGATAGTGACATAAATATGGAATTTTAAACTTATCTATATATATATATATAGATTCACCTAAGCCATCTTGAGGCCGAATCGAAATCTTTGAATTGATTCCGGCAATTTCCGGCATGAGTTTGCAGAACTGCAGCACATGTTTTGCTTGAATATATAATGGATCCTGAACCCACAGGAAAGGACACAAAAGAGAACACGTTACAGATTCCACAGAATTTTGCATCTCATCTACCCAATAATTCAAGCGGCAGCCTGTTTCCATCCAGAATGCAAAAGTGCCAATTGACATCAATTGAATTCGATTGACTATGATTGACTACTCATTCAAGCCCCTCCATATATTTCATCATTGATCACCAAACAATAAACAAACGCAGTATGGGTGCAAACCATGATTAGTAGCTCATCTGCAGGTGACTGCCAAAGATTCTAACTCCAAACACTCTTGGATAATCCCTCAAGCTAGAAAATGCTATATATAATATAATATATATATATATCCACAATCTATATCAATCTATGGCAGTTCCATCTACCTTAGGACCTTTGTCAAAGCATGGTGTACGCGGCTGCTTTTCGGTATGTCTTGGTCTTGGCCATCCGTAATGGGATATCATGGGTAAATGAATATCAATTCATGCATTCATGACCAAGCACCAACAAATCAACAACTTATCCAGGTTTTATATATATAACATGTTATGTGTATATATATATATAATCATGTTGTTTGCATGTTTTAAGTATGGCACACATGGCAATTTATCCTTTACAAAACATCCAAACCAGATGTCCCAAAACCATCTTACCTCAATTTTGCTCATGTACCGCTACCATCATGATCATCCAGTTGCTCAATCCTTTCAGAATTTCACATCCCATCACGGCAAGAAAAAGAAGCGCTGTTTACGCTGTTTCAGAACTTCACTGCTTATTCTCCCAATGAAATCCAGCCAAGAAATGGAATTTCAGCCAGTGAAATCCCAATGAAAATCATGAAATCCAGCCCGAAAAACTCCTGTCCCAGTGTCGGCGAGTTAGACCTGGAACTTCTCGAACTTCTCCTGGCCCTCCGCATGGGACTTTGCCTCCGCCTCTCCTCCGGCGCCGGCTGCGCCTCCCGCGGATCCCGCTGCGCGCGCAGCGCGCGGATCACGGCCACCGGGTTCAGCGGCCCCGGGCCGTCCCGGGCTCTGCCGACGGATGCGGGACCCAGCTGGGCCAGGTCGCGGAGCATGGGATCATCCCAATCCATGGTGAGAAATGCCACTTTTAACAGGATTATACAACTGGTTGGTGGTTGACCTAGCCCTCTGAAAAATGATGGAGTTCGTCAGTTGGGATGATGAAATTCCCAATATATGGAAAAATAAAAAATGGTCCAAACCACCAACCAGACAATATTCAACATGATTTAACAGGATTCAACATTGCTTAACCATTTGAGTCCGGTTCTGATGTATTGAACCTTTGATTTTGGCTCATGAAAAATTGATGACTTGATGTAATTGTTGATCAATTACCTCTATTTTCGTCGGGAAGCTGTTTCCCCTGCTAGTTTTTTTGTGTGGCTGCTTCGATCTATGGAATATGCATGGTGTTGTCTCAGGTTGCTTGTGTGTCCTGATTTTGCGTCCGGATATCACATCGTTTTGAACAAGTATATCAAGACACACTGATCTGAGTCAGCTTTCCATCTCAGTGAAGATACTGTTGGGCCTGATGGCTGCACGCTCACGGCCATGTGGTGGACTTACTACCCTAATTCTTGGTATGGTCCACCAAGTTCATTGCAATGTTTTTGTGCTTTGTGGTTTGAAATCAGGCACCAGGTTTTAGTAATTTATGAGTGGTCAAAGGAGTGGTTGGGGTCGTTTCCTGTCCTTTGTGTAAGGTTCAGAGCCACATTTATATAACTATAGTAACTATAGGAAATCTGGCCCCTGGTAGATGATGGCTGGGCGGATAAAGATGCACTTTTAGCCACATCACCAATAAAAAAAGAAAGTTTTTTTTATTGGTCTTCCCTGCCCTGATGTGATCATCATGGGTAAAACCCATCCAAAATGCTGGGGAATCATACACCGATTTCGCGCGCAAGACAGAACTGTACAATCCCTGGCACATCTGCAAATTCTCCGGGCAATTCGTGGTTTTCTGAAAACAAACACCAAGGCTACCAGGGATTTTGCTTACAAATGGACTTTTGATGGAGTTCTTGGAGAGCTGATCAAAGATCAACATGACAGTTATCCAAGATTTGGGGATATCTTCTCGAAATCAAATCGCTTTGGGAAAACCATGCTGTAAAAACAAGGCCTTCCCAAGATGTTTGGTTCATCTGACTGTAATGTTTGTCTAGTTAAACATTTGTTTCAACATCTTTATACAGTTCATATATGTGCATTAATCTCCCCAATATCATCCAATATCCATGTCCATATCCATGTTGTTCCTCAAGTCACCCCTTCATGCCTCTTGCATGGTATCTTTGAACAAACAACTTCCGCCCGGGGCAGCTCTGGTGGACAAAGCCGCAATGATCCGCCACCGGATCTTGTGAAACCTTGACCACTGATGGCCAGGAAAAGGGGCCTATTTTTTCGTTCACCCTGTAGATCTCAGATGTCGCGCGCATTTTGGAATTGATGATGGCGAAAAAAAAAACAATTAGTGGCAGGCTCCGTGGCATCACGTCGTTCTTGAGGTGCTAATTTTGACACTTTCCGATCTGAATCATATCAGTGAATATTTGATGGCTAAACACCAATTTTGCCAATATCAGGGCCGTGTCCCCGTACTGGAACAAACCAGTTTGGTGGTGGGAGTGCCCTAGTTTCGGGAAATATTCATATATTTTCTGGATATTCTTAGGGAAAACATAGAAAAACTATGGAAAACTGATTTCCTGCGCGGTTTTCACATCTAGCCCTGCAGGGTTCAAAGATCGACGATTCACTTTGGAAATCTACGGGCTCTGGACACGCCCACGAGTTTCAACCCCAAACAAACTGGGCATTGGAAATTTCTCCCGAAAAGTGTCTCCGGGCGTGTCTCCTTTGGAGATCCGGAGACGAGTGACTCGTAAAGTCCGCGGAGGAGTGACCCGGTGAAGTTGGTGACCAGTTGTGCTGGAACTGATCTGAAGAAGTGGGCGTTTTGGATCGTTTTGGGACATCTATAGGAGATAGATCCAAGATCCAAAGATTTCCAAAAGATCCAAGACTAATCTAATAAATCATGTCATAAATCACATCTATTGATGTTCCAAAGTCTCCTGCGCCTGCATTGTCTCCCAGCAAATCGCTTGGGATCCATCCGGACAGGTCAACCCTCGGCGATGACAGGGCTGGTACCTGGCAACCGGGGGATTCTTCATGGATTTTCCGACGAAAAAAACATGGATTTTTCATGTATGTTTGTGTCATGTGGTCATATGGTGTGGGTAAAATAACATGGTAAATCATGGGTAAATCCCAGAATGGCACCAACCAGCCTCACTGCACTGTGCACACCGAGCTTTTCCTGGTCCCATGATAGCCATGGGTTGCCGTAGCACCAAATAGGAACTAGCTTAGACATGCTTAGAAGGGAAGCGTCACTAAGAATAACTATAGATATAGGGTTAACTGGGGTTAAGTCGGATTTGATCATTGTAGAATCCCATTTAATTTGTTGTTTCAATTGAGCGGACTCTTGCATTAAGTGGATAGTTAACAATCGTATTAAGTCTAACCCCGAATTCAAAGTGGGCCACCGGTTGTATTGATTTCCAGTTCAAGGGAAATAATACCATGTTCATAGCATTTTCATTGCATTTTCAAACTCTGGATGAGCGGTCCCAAAGATCATCTTCGAGGTCCTCAAAATTCCACATGGGCTACCCACCCGTCCTGGCAGAAGGTGGTGGACCTGACCAATTCAAGTCAACCTTCACCTGCGGGAACCGCTGCGGCAGGCGCGGGAACGGCAGGTGATTCCGGTGGTTGTTTCGAGCAGCGTTGAAGGTATGGAAAATGAATGAAAATGCGTCATGACATGCCATGAAAGTAGATGAATTCCCATGACTTCCCCTATTCGTTCGGAATCTTCGGAATGTCCATGGCGAAGTGTTCCATGACGAACTGTCAGCCAGAGTGCAACTGCTGGGATTGTCGTGGCACAGCTTGGAGATCTTGGTTCGGACTTCCACAGGTGTCCTTTTGAAGTGCTGAACTTTCTGCAAAAGGTATCTATCTGGCAACCTTGTCTCATTCTGATCTTGACATCTGTTGATTTCCTACATGAAAATCAAACATAAAACCACAAGAACTTTCGTCTATCGTCTAAATAGATGTACCACTGTCAAAACATGGTACATTGACAACATTGACATACATTAACCCCGTATATGAATGGGATCACTGTGCCCCTTTATGGGAAAATTATGACCAATCTTGATCGAGTTGGTCGGCTCGGCGCAAGCAAATGCAGCAAATGTGCTGAACTGAACCACCATTTTGCTCCGATTGTTGATCCCTACTATTGGGATATCACAACTTTATATAAGTAAATGGGTAGTTGCTGCTACTCCCCGTTGCTAACATGTTTGCCTGGAATGCATGTGTATATATATATTATTAGTATTATTATTATTAATTATTATTTATTATTATTATTAATTATTATCAATTATACTGTTTACATTTTTTTGCTATATTATATCCCACTTACTTTCGTTGATGTGCAAATTCAATCATGTCAATCCCCAGTTTTTTGGGATATTTTTCCACAGTCACTTCAGGGTTCCCTGTCTCTTTTCACGTCGCCTCGAATTGCCCAAAGACCGGGCGATGGTCGGAGCATTGCAGCGTTGGTACCTGGGGGATCCCCAGAGGTCGTCACCATGGTTGTTTCGATGCGAAAAAAGTTGGGTATGACTGGATTATTTGGGAGTACCCCAT